GGTGAATGCCACAAATTCTCCTAAATCACTCGTACGCACAATTTAAGAACAAATCTGTGCGTACGAACGGTTCTTGCATGAGGCCCAATGTGCATTTTATAATTAGAGGTTGTTTTAATAATAGTGTCATAAATGGACTTCCATATATACGGATAGCTTATTTTGGATATAAAATGTACATAAAACCTACAATTTCGTAGTGCAAATATTATAACTTCTATGTTGGTTTAAATGTTATGTTTCCCCCTGGTCATTAGAAGAAAGTGTGTTCTTGAAATGACATCATTATTTGAAAGTATTTAGTGTCTGAACCGGGGGGCTCTGGACCTTTAATTCCGCTGATTCCCACATGAGAATCTCGCATAACACTCCAGTCAGCTGACTGCAGACGCCATTTTGTCAGCCATTTCCTCCACAGACCCGACTGCCAGCGTCTCTGCACAGCTCAGGACGCCCCGTCTGGCCTCAGCAGCCTCTCATCTGCCCGGGCTCGGATAGAGAACCTGCCGCCGCCCGACCCCCTGGAACACACGGCACCCGCGTGGATGAGCGCCTAGGGTCGAACGAGACCTCTTCCTTCGTCTTGTCTGTCTTCACGGCTCCTGGAACCCGCAGGACCGCAGCGGTAACGAGTCGGACATGGCTTTGAAGATTGTCAAAGGGAGCATCGATCGGATGTTCGACAAAAGCCTCCAGGATTTAGTACGTGGCATCAGGAATCACAAGGAAGATGAGGTAAAACGAGCTGTGTCCCCACCCCCACGTAAACTCGTTGTTTTTACCATAACCGTTATACCACCGCGACTAGCTAACCAGCTAACCCGGGTAGAGTTAACGTTAGCCTGGCTGTTTCAGCCGCCAGCTAGCGGCACAACTGTTGACGTTTGCTAAACGGCACTTTACTGAGTACGAGCAGTTTGTGACGTTGTGAAACAAAATGTGGTGTTAAACAAGTGGAGACTTCGCTGACAGCCGGATAATTCATTTAGAGGAAGAATGAATCACAGTTGAAGGAACTGAGCAGAACTGAGCCCAAACCAGAGAGGGATTATGATTATATGACTGCAGGAGCGTCCTTCTGAGCTCAAACCCAGGGAAACAAGGTGTCCCCTCTGATCTAATACAAAATTAATGTGGTCTTGAAAAGCCTATGATTAAATAAATGCACCATATAGAGTTGCTGATGACGTGTAATGACTAGAAACCACAAAAAAAGGTGTAAGAAAACCACACAGAGTGACACAAAATGATTGCAGGCCTTGCTCTCTTTATTTATTTTGATGCCACTTTTCTGTTCTCCAACAGATGCTGCATTTATTGCATCTTTCTGGGGTCTGGTTAAATTTGGGACAGTGGCACTCAGCTGTCAAATTAATCTTGTGATGATAAACGGAGCAAAGTGTGAAAAGAAGCCAAATTTAGAAACAAGTCCATGCAGATTAAACTCTTCTGATCATGGCGAGTTCGGTGACAATTCATCATTGATGTTACATGTCTGGGCAGTTACAGTTTTAGAGGCAGCCATGACTGTGTATCACATCAGACTACTGTTTTGAAAGGTTTGTACTGATGATGACGCATGGCTTTGTTGATGTTGTAAAAATGCTTTATCAGGATATCAGGATAACGAGGAAACATGTGAAGTAAAGAGCTACACTACTGCTGTGGTTCAGTGATAAAATATAGATGGAGTTGGTCTAATTCCTGCACAGCTTTAGGATCTCAGGTGGACGTTTTTGTCAACCTCACCATCCAGTTTCAATATTAACAATCAGTTCTTGAATTTATTTTATTTTATTTTTGGAAATAAAAAGCAAGCACTAAGATCAGCTGTGTTCCTGGAGACTGTCCGTTCTGGATCACTGGATTCAGTGCATGCTTGTTTCAGCGCTGTGTGTCAGTGGTAACCTAACCAGGACCGCCTAGATAAGGTGCTGGTTGCCCAGTCAACAATGGACAGACCGCTCAATTATTAATACTTGGTATGTTGCGTTCACGAGTATGCGTTGACCTTTTTTTTAAAAAATTTTCGTGGTCAGCACACATTTTTGTCATGCTTCCTTTTTTCGCATGTGAGCTGAATATTTGCACAGTTTGGTCATTCACGTCAGAACAGGGAGCATATTGAGGGATCGGTGTCCTCTGGATGGTTGCTCCTTGGATGAGTTGGCATCAAATATCAGTTTTCATAACACAAACCCTCCTTTAGTTTATCTCCAACTCAGTTTGTGTTTATTTATCCTTACATACCTGGCTCGGAATCGTGTGTGTGTGGTGAACAAGTACAAGTGTGTGTGCATCAAATCCTCCCCTGCCAGCAAACCACTGTAGAAAGCTCCACGCTCCCCCTTCACTCCACCGCCTGCTGTAACTGTGCTGTCTCATGACTGCGCACACATGACCAGCACACTCTCACACTCGACTCAACTGTGTGTTTGTTTTGTTAGGCTGCTCCTCTCTGCAATGGGTGACTGATTTCTTGCATGAAAACGTCCAGCTCAACTCTTTCCTAAATGCTGGGAAAAAAGAAAGAGGAAAACTGGCTGACGGCTCTGTTTTTCCAGAGATATATTGTGTTTTATAACTGCAACTATAAAAGTAGTTATTATTTAACTTTTTTCTTAGATTATTATAATGTATAATAT